ATGGAGTTTGTTTCAGATGAGGTATAATATTCAAAATTTCACGCATTACTTGCTAACTTTAAATCCATGAATCAATTCATCTCTCTTCCTACAAATGATCTTCGCCCAAAACGACGAATGAAGTGTTTTCAGTCAAAGCCTTCGTTTGCAAATCTTTAGTTTTGTTTTGTTTTTTCAATGAATTTATGTTGGGCAGGTGCATGTGATTACAGTGACGACAGCCAAAAAATAATATTTATCTCATGTTTATTCTTCCTTCAAGTTACTAAAAGAGGCCGATATTGATGAGGATGGATTCTTATCTTATTCAGAGTTCGAAAACGTAATCGCAAGATCACCCGAGTTCATGAAGTAAGTCAAAGCGCTGTTTCATTGTGCTAGTCCCTTCCAAAGCGCAAATATTAAAGCGCACGGCACCCAACGAAAAGCAATCATGCCGAAGATTTCAATTCTATCATGCCATTAGCATCACTCAACATCTTAATTTCTTTTATTCTTGCAGTAATTTCCACATCCACATATAAAATTAATTGCCAAAATCATTTTATAAAGTGGAGCCAAGATACCCTGCGAGCAATACATGCTGTTTAGATAACAAACATTGATGGAAATTGTTGGAACAAATTAAAAAAACTTACTAATTAACTGGTATAATTAACACTAGCTTTTCCATCACTCGGGTAATTGTAGTGAAGGACTTGCATTTGTCTTATGAGCCTTGGCAAACTGTTGTTTATTTAAAGCTTTGCCCAGTGTCTTTTAAGTTAGGAAATTCGGACTCGTGAGACGAAGACCATACCCAAAATTCAGAAGGTTTGCAATTAGCGCCCGCCAAGAGAACATGCCTGTAAAGGAAAATCATGGAAAGTAAAGTAAACATGGAGCAATTTATAGAACTGATCTTGGAAGAATATATGATGGTCAACTGTTTTATGACATACAATTAATAAAAAGAAAATGAAAAAGTGCTCGGTGTATAGTGGATTAGTCAATAAAGTTAAGAAAATTAAGACAAACAGAAACACATTGTTTTAAAACATTTTTATACCTCTAACGTTTGATTCTGATCGTCATCGACAATTTCCTCTCCACTGTCCTTTGACATGGAAACCGAGAAACAAATTGCTACTCCCTTAAGACTGATTTTCGGGATCATTGAAACAATTCAAGCCCCCTCCCCTGACTTTTGATTGTGACACTCGCTGACGTATTGTCCTTCCCTGACTTTTGAACTGTATGGTTGGTATTGATCTTGAGAGCCTGACTTTTGAACTGTACGGTTGGTATTGATCTTGAGAGCCAAAGACTAATTGTAATCACTCCCTAACTTTTAAATCTGACATTCACTTGGGTATAGCTACTCCTAACATCCAAATGTTGTTGCAAACGGACAAATTGCTCGCCGCTCCCTGGTGGACTTTATCAAAAGTCGCTGCCAAATTGTCACCCCCCTCCCCTCTCCCCTTCGACTCGGACCATCACTGATAAATTCAAGACCCCAGAGCTTCCTGAGACTCTTGCATAGTGCAGTGTATACAGTGGTATTTCCTTATTCTCCCTGCTTCGAAAGTCGATTTATTTGGAGAGACAGCCTTTATATAATTATTTACAGTGACTGTTGCGTGGCGACGATGGCTTAAGTGCTCACGTAACCTTTTGAAGCAGATGTTGGGATTTGGTCTCTCTCTTCCGTTCCGTCTGAATCTAAATAGTTTGCTCTCTTTTTCCTCAGCTTCTTGAAAATTTTATTCTCGAAAGCAGCAACTCAATAAATGCAACTCGAAAGTGCCTTTTTCGAATGGCGAACATAACCGGATTTATTTAAGAAATGAATTCGAATTTACCATCGCAACGATAAAACGACGAATTGTTGTTCGAGTCTTTTTCCATCTGAGAGAATTTCATGCAAGGGCGAAAGCAGAGGGCAAAAGGAAATACAGAAAAGTCCTCAGTATCATTATTGTAGTTGTTTTTAGGGCTTTTTTCTCTTTTTGGAATTTTTTTGGCTTCTATATAGCTAGAGATTTGATGGGTCAGAGTGTCTTTTTCGTGGCGGTGGGCCTGCTTAAAGAAGTTGAGATGGTCAGTTTTAGCCGAATATTCACCAAACTGAAAAGGGAATGAGAAATAAACAAAGAGATTGCAAATACTGATTCGTAAATTGAAAGGCGTTAAGCCTACTAAAATGTCCGCGCGAAAAAGACATTTGATTTCACTAGCAATCAAGAGCGATCACGAATAATATAGGACTTCAGTTGGAAAAACTAAACAGATTTTTCATTCTTTCTGTAAGAGTTTGAAACAGACAGCTATATCTTAAAGGGAGAATTCACATCAAATGGCGACCATTTACGACCAAAACTGTTTCAAAATATTCTCCAAATCAAGTGACTAAGTAACCGACGGATAATTTTTGGTCGGTTTGAAATCTGAAAGGTTTACTCAAACGAATTCAATTTTCAAAGGTGCACAGACTTAAGAAGCACTTAACATGCCCTTGACAAGGACCGATTCAAAAGGTATGAAACTCCACTTGGGATTTTAGCACCAAGAATATAAAAAGGCAACCTCTGTAGCTATACTCGTCAGTGAAAGCCTCAAACGAAACGAATGGAACTTGGCAAAAACTCTCCGCCTGTTTTTAAAAAAATCAAGCACTTAGAGCTTGACGCTTATCAGAAGTAGATTTTCTTGGGAATATTTTATTAGCTTACAGCTTCTTTCTCGCTTTATGAAAATAAGCAGCTAATGGGTTGATTTTCAGTTAATAGCAAATGGAAATTTGTTTCTAATCTCGCAAATTAGCCCCGTTTTAATGATTATATCGGATTGTTTGACATATCTATAAATAGCGTTTCGAATACAAATAAAAACTGAATTTCTTGCAATAATTCCTCACCTTAAATATCTAATCCACGTGGAAGAGAGCCGCAAAACTAAAAAAACATGACGGCAGGAGCTGAGTCTGCCTTTAATCTTTGTAAAATAAAACCCACATTTTCTGTGATTGTTGAGAAAACGAAGCCAGTGTAGTATCAGAAGTATCGCATAGTGATGATATGTTTCGCTTCGAGTCACCTGCTATTGTCTGTGAATATAGTGATACCTCACTGTGAAATCGAAGGTAAAAAAATTTGAATGTTGACCAAGTTGCCTGACAGAACATGGAGATGAAGCTGTATTTGTTTGTCCGCTAAAAAACTTTGCATTATAACTGAAAGCTGATACACACTGCACCAAGAGTATAGTACACTGAAAGTATAATCGCTTCGTTTCAAGGCAGCAAGGATCAAAGACAGCTTTTGATAAACTGAAACAGTTGTTGCGCTAGAATAAAACAGCGCAAGAAGACAGACTCATTCCAACTTTTCTTTGAACGACTTTGGAACACAAAATTAGAATTCCTTTTGCAACAGTTCGGAAAATGCGGATTACTAACTTTCAGTTTGAATTAATCATGCACTTGAAAGAAATCGAAAATTAGACTTTTACAAAACAAGCTTGGTTTCGATTGGTTTCAATTCTAGGAGTGATAAAAAGAATATGCTGCCAAAATGCTAAGTTTGTCTTTGACAAGTGTAAGGATCTAAGTTCAGTTTTCATTTGGGGACAAACTTGCTTTAGGACTAAACATGAAAAAGATTTCCCTTCCTTATGTTCTACCAAATCACACATTTAAAGCATAGTTTTCAACTTTATTGCCTTTCGTAATTTGTTCTTCCCAACTTAATTTTTCAAACGCTTTGGTCACGGAGGCTCGTCGAAACAAAGCGACTACTTCAAGGAAGCCTTGACTTTTGTTACCGCTAAGCTTTCCTTTACGTTCATTTTTATTTATTTATTCATTTATTTTTCATCCCCGTAATTATAACTTTTAGGAACAGATTCCTAATGTGGCAAAACTGACATGAAATACTTTCAACCGCTGTCAAGAGCAGTTGATATTTTCTTGACGTTGTATGATGTGATGACTTCACCGGCCCTCTTAAAAAAAAAAACACCCAACCGAAATAAAAGCAAACTTAGTCCAGTCGCAAATATTTTGAAGTCACCGGCTCTCAACCAATAAAAGAAGGGATTTAACAATTCATCCCTGTTCATCAAGCGGCACGCTGATTGAATATTTTAGTGGGTAATTACAAATCTTATTTCCACAAGATAAGTTGTCTCTCCAAATGCAACTGCTAACAAGGTTTACATGCGATCCGTTTTAACTATTTTTATTTTTTTTTTTCTCCATCTCTGTTGTAATATATTTCTAGAAATTACAAGTATAGAAGGTCATTAGTAAAAAATATGCCTAAGAAAAAAGAAAATACAATGCAAAAGTGACATTTTTATCATTAATTTTCAATAAACAAGTTAAAACCTATCTTTACATTCACATCAGAAGCAAAAATTCTCCAAATTTAGAAGAAGTATCTACCAAAGCAAGAGGGCTCGTGAAAATCAATGACCAATTCGACAAGCCCCGACTTTTGATGACGCAAAGCTTTCCTTTGCGTTCATTTTAACTTAAGTCCCATCATTATAAAACATTTTGCAACAGATGCCTAAAGTGGCAAAACTCGCACGCAATGCTTTTAAACGCTTTTAATTTCATGATTTATTGACCTCTCCGGCTCTCTCAACAATGACACCCATTTGAATTATGCCGAATTCTCTCAAATGAAAGAAAACTCGGTTCAATCGTCAAACTTTTGAAGTCACCCGCTCTCCAAAAATAAAAGAGTGGATGTTACATAGTCATTTCTGTTCATCTGACGGCTAGGTGAGCTGAAAATTTCATCGGGTAATTGAACCACTCACTTCTATTTTACAAATAAATGTAGGTACCATCCTGAGTCTATTCAGCGATACGTGGATTGTTTAGGGGGCATATTGAAATTTTGGCCCATTTAAAGGTGGACTGACAGTTGAAAGAGATCCAAAACGAACTTTGGCCCTTTTCGAAGTTAATCAAGAAGTTGGGACATCAACTGAGGAACAGCATATCGAAAATGAATTACTCTTCGTCTGTTGGCCTTGGAAACAATTGCAACAGCTCATTAGTTCCTCAAACCATTCTTCGGCGATATGATTTTTCTTCCGAACTTACTCGCAACTTTCTCATCGCAGCAGCCGTTCTGAGTTTCGTTGCTTGTCCTTTGACCTGCTTTTTTAACGGATTAGTCATTTTAGCCGTGAAGGTAAAACGAAGACTTCAAACACACTCAAACATCATGCTGGCGTGTTTCGCACTCACTAATGTACTGAATGGCGTGCTGGTTCAACCCCTGAATGCAACTCTGGCGATTTTTCTGCTTCAAGGTAAAGATTTCCACGAAGTGTGCGAAGTTAATTTGGCGTTTAGCTTCTCTTTTATGGAAGTTAGCTTGATATCTATGAGCCACCTGATTCTGATCAGTGGAGAACGCTACCTCACCATAAAGTACTCTCTTAGACACAACGAGGTGCTCACAAATACCAGCGTTATAGTTTCATCGTTTCTAACCTGGATCACAGCAGTCATTCTCTATTTCATTTTGCCAAACACTATGATGACGTTCGCCATTTTAGAGATCACAGTGTTTTCTTCGATTGTTATACTTCAGGTTCTGGTCTATAAACAGGCCCGTCGTCACGAAAAAAGTATTCTTACCCACCAAGTTTCTATGGAAGCAAAAGCTAAATTTAAAAGAGAGAAGAAAGCCTTAAAATCAACCACCCTTTTAATTCTGATAGTTATACTTTTTTTCCTGGTCCCATTTACTTTCCTTAATTTCACGTGGTTTATATTCGAGAAAAGATTCTCGGATGAAGTTAAGATGTCCGCTCGTCAATTTTGTCTCGGGATAGTGACTCTTAATTCCGTTGTCAATCCAATTATTTACACAGTTCGAAATAGACATTTTAGAGTTTCTTTTATCGAGATGTTGTTGGGAAAAACTCCTCGAGAAGCTGAGGAAAATGAGAGGAAATTGTTTAGATTTAGACAAAGAGTCATGGCTGTGAGACTTGAAGCTAGACAAGAAAGAAAAGTGAATAAAGGATGTAATCAAATCCAACCAGATGATGCGAGGGATCCAGAGGAAATTACATCGGGCGAACAGATCAGCATCACCACGAGAACAGTCCCTGCTGACGACCATACTAGATAAGTAGTCTATCTAACTAGTTGATATGTGATCCATTTTAATCGCTGATTTGCAATAAGCATATAAAGATTTATTTTTCGCTGCTTGACTTAT